CTTTCACTTAGGATAATGTTTTCAAGGTTCATTCATGTTGTACCACACTTCAGAACAATTGTTTTTTATTGCTGAATAGTACTTCATAGTATAGATATACTGTGTTTGAATATCCACTCATCAGTTGATGGATGTTAGGTTTGTTTCTGTCTTTGGCCTCTTCTGAATAATACTGTAAACATTTGTGTGCTCGTTTTTGTGTGAACACATGCTTTCATTTCTTTTGAGTTTATACCTAGTAGTAGAACTGTGGGTTGTATGGTAACTAAATGTTCAACTTTTTAAGGAACTGTCAAATTGACTCTGCCGTTTTATATTCATACCAGCTATGGACAAGGGCTCAGAGTCTTCCACATTATTGCCAGCGTTTGTTTTTACCTTTCTTTTTGTTCATAGCCATCCTATGCAAAGTGGCACTTCATTGTAATTCTGACCTGCATTTCCCTTATAACTAGTGGTGTGCTGCATCTTTTCACATGCTTTTTATACATTTGTGTATCTTATTTGTTAAAACTGTCTATTCAAATTCTTCATGCATTTTTAAATTGGGTTGTCTTTTATTATTGAGCTTTTAAGAGTGAGTAATATATTTTAGACACGAGTGCCTTCTCAGATATTTGATTCGTAAAAGTTTTTCTCCTGTTCTGTGGTTTGTTTTCTTCAGTTTTTGGCGGTGCCATTTGAAGTACAAAAGTTTAATGTTTTGATGATTCAATTTATCTCTTTTTTCTTTTGTTGCTTATGACTTCAATGTTGTATATAAGAAACAATTTTCTTACCTGAGATTGTGAAGTTTTATAGTTTTAGCTCTTACATTTGGGTCTATGATTCCTTCATATTTTATGTGATATAGGGGTGCAATTTCATTATTTTTCATGCAGGTATCTGGATGGCTCCAGCACCATTTGTGGAAATACTTTTCATCCCCACTGAATTATTTCGACCCTCTTGTTGAAAATGAATTGACCATTCTTATAAAGTTTATTTCTCAATTCTCAATTCTATTTTATTGATCATTATATCTATCTTTATACTACTACTATCTTTTTAATTACTATAGATTTGTAGTGTGTTTTTAAATGTGGAAGTGTGACTCCACCAATTTTGTTCCACTTTTTCAACTTGTGCTGGTTATTTTGAGTCCCTCGCTTTTCCATATGAGTTTTGGAATCAACTAGTAAATTTCTTCAAAAAAGGCAGCTAGAATTTGATAGGGATTGCGCTGAACCTGTAAATAAACTGGGGGACTATTGCCATTTAAGAGGGCTTCCCTCGTGGCTCAGTCAGTAAAGAATCTGCCTGCAATGCAGGAGATGGAGGTTCAATCCCTGGGTCAGGAAGGTCCCCTGGAGGAGGGCGTGGCAACGCACTCCAGTATTCCTGCCTGGAGAATCCCGTGGACTGAGGATCCTGACAGGCGACATTCCATAGGGTCGAAAAGATTTGTACACAACTGAAGCGGCTCAGCACAGCACGCACACACCATCTTAAGACTGTGAAGTCTTCCGATCCATAAACATAGGGCACTTTTCATTTGGATCTTCTTTATTTCAACATTTTGCAGTTTTCATTGTGCAAATCTCGCACATCTTTTGTTAAATTTATTTGTAGTATTTTATTCCTTTTGTTGCTAGTGAAAAAGCGATTGTTCATTTTCAGATTGCTCATTGCTGTGCTGTGCTTAGTCACTTAGTCGTGTTCAACTCTTTTCGACCCCATGGACTGTAGCCCGCCAGGCTCCTCTGTCCATGGGATTCTCCAGGCAAGAATAGTGGGGTGGGTTGCCATGCCTTCCTCCAGGGGATCTTCCCAACCCAGGGATCTAACTCAGGTGTCCCTCATTTCTACTGTATTGCTACTATACTGTATTGTTTATTATTACTGTACAACTGATTTTTGTATATTGATATTACATCCTGCAACTTGCTCATTAGTTCTAGTGGTTTTTTTGTGTGTGTGATTCCTTATGATTTTCTATATATTTGACCATCTGTAAACAGTTTGACTTCTTTTTTCCAATCTAGATTTCTTTTATTTCTTTTTCTTGTCTGATTTTTCTAGCTAGAACCTCTAGTTCAGTGTTGAATAGAAGTGGTCAGAACAGACATCTTAGTCTTGTTTTTTGATCTCAGGGGGAAAGTATTTAGTCTTCTACCACTAATTAAGATGTTTGTTATGGTTTTTTTATAGATAGTTTTTATTGAGTTGAGGAAGTTCCCTTCCATTTTTAGTTTGTTGAGTGTTTTTGTTATGAAAAAGGATTAGATTTTTTCCAAGGCTTAGTCAGTATCTATTGAGATGATCATGTGATTTTTATCTTTTGTTACATTATTATAATGTACTACATTGATTGACTTTTTGATATTAAATCAATTGCATTCCTGAATAAATTCCTTTGGTCATGGTGTTTTCATATGTTGCTGTATCAGTTTGTTTTAGTTTCTTTCTTTTTTTTTTTTTTTGCATTTATACTTATAAGTGATTTTGGACTGTAGTTTTCTTTCCTAGCAGTGTCTATGACTGGTTTTGTTGTTAGTAGCAGAGGCCTCGTAGAATGAGCTGGGAAGCGTTCCCTTCCCTTGTATCTTTTGAAGACTTTGCAAGGGATTGGTATTAATCTGTAAATGTTCTTATTTTGATTTTTTTTTTACAGCTTCCTTTGTCATTTATGCTTTGTTATTGTTAAGTTGCACACGGGGCTTGTAAATGGGGTCAGGGAGCTGATGTTTATGCTGATCATCTCCTGTAGAACAATTGACAGTGACAATACAGAACTTTAACCAAAATTATTGAGTCTTCTCTCTGTCTGCTTCTACTAAACAGTGCTGAATACTCCACCACAAGAGCACATGCTTAATTATAGAAATAAATTAGAAGCATTTTATATCTTGAATTCAGTACCACAGTTGGAAAATGCCATTTTCCTCAGTAGAGCTATGGGTGTATGCCCAGTTCACTGTACCTGGATTAAGAACTCTTACCTGCAACTTATTAGTGCCAATTTGTTTGGAAACATTATTTAAAAGAGCCTATAAAGAAGTGTTACACTGACCTCCTTTCGAGTCAGAGAGCCTGAGAACAAGGAGAGTTTGTTGGATCCTAGACATCACGTAAGGTAATATGAATAATAAATATTTAGATTGTCTTCCTACATGTTTCAAAATACTTTTGGTCATTAATCACTCTACCAAGTCAGTGGGGAAAATTAACACTGAAGAAATAATAATAATAACAACTGTTTACTAAGTAATTCCTATGTGCCAAGCACTTTTGAATACTTTACATATGCTATCTCTTTTATTCCTCATAGCAATCTTATGAAGTCAGTGCTGATATTATTCTCCACGTTTCAGATGTGGAAGCTCAGAAACAGAGAGATGATCCAAGCTGCTTGGTATCAGGCAGGCAGAGAGTGGCAGAGCCAGGATCTGACCTGGGTTATGTGACTCCATAGCCTTCCCTAAATCAGAAGTCAGAATGGATCAGACATATTCTGGAACAGGGATTCAGATTCAGGCTTTGTTTTATAAGTTTTAGATTTAAAAGTCATTTGTCTCTCTCTTATGAAGGATAAAATTTCCAGCCAACAGTTAAGAAATGTCTATAAAGAATGTGCTTAGATGGTCCTAAGGACTTGAGCAAGATTAATGTAATAGATAAAGTAGTATGATAAATATTTAACATTTATCAAGTGCTTACTATATTCTAGGGTAAGTGATATGTTTGTATAAATTAACTAAATTTGCAAAATAACTATGAAGTGGATATTATAATTACCATCTTCAATCACAGATGAAACCAGTGAAGCAAAGATGTATAACTTGAGTGCATGCATCCTCAGTCACTTCAGTCATGTCCGACTCTTTGTGACTGTAGGGACCATCACCCACCAGGCTCCTCTATCCATGGGATTCTCCAAGTGAGAATAGTGGAGTGGGTTGTCATGCCCTCCTCCAGGGGATCTTCCTGACCCAGGAATCCAACCTAGGTTTCCTGCATTGCAGGCAGATTCTTTACCCGCTGAACCACCAGAGAAGTCTGATGTATAATTTGCCCAAGGCCAATTAGTAATAAGTGGCACAGTCCAGATTTTAATCAAGAATCTCTATCCTTAATCACTGTGCCATGCAGTTTCTCTAAGTCAGTAAGTCATCACCTAATACATGGTCACGAGAATATAGTCACACCAAGAAAGCAGTGGTAAGACTGCATCATCATGTCTGTGCATGTGAAGATTGAAGTCAGTTCTCCAGGAGAGAAATGTGTTATGGCTAAAAGGAGGAGAAACACTTTTCTCTGAATATGAGACAACTTGAAGCAAGTATGGAAATATTAAAAAAAAAAAATTTAATTTGGATAAGGAGGCTCTTAGCTTGTGCTTCCACAGAAGACAGGAATAGACTGATGGGATACGGGGAGCATTCATAAGCCTTTTTCTTGTAGTGGTGACATCACCGGACCTGGGTCTATTTGGCACTTTTCCTTATGGAAACACAAACATTTCCTCCGACATTGTTCTGTGGTTTTCCTGCAGAGCATTCTACACTTATGCAGGGCTACATTGCCGACCTCTGTGTTCGGCTGGGAAGACAGCAGCACTCGAGCCAGACCAGAGAGCCAGGTGTGTCCACGCCAGTTTGTGGGTCCTGTGGTCTGTAGCTGCGATAGTTTTATCTCCTCGAACACATGTATTCACCTCTTGGTCTTGAAGACACTGAGTTTGAAGCAATTTGCAACTTTTTAAAGGATTATTCAAATTATCAAAATACATTATATGGAATGTTTTCAATGAAATTATTATTAAACTGAAGTTTCTAAGTTATTTTTATTAAAAAAAATACCTTCACATCAAAAGCAAGTAAACCAATATTGCCCACCCTTTCCATTCCTCACATGCAAACAAAGACCAGTGAAAATCAAATGTCAGATACAGGGGCTTTTAAAAAATACATTTGGTCCATTTCCACTATCAAGGTAACCTGGTAACTTCTTTTCTCAAGTCCTCACACAGGTATTCAGGAATACCAGAATGGTGTGCCAAAGATCCCAACAGCTTGTATTACAGTGGAAGACGCAGAGATGATGTCAAGAATGGCTTCTCGCGGGAACAAAATTGTCATTCAGCTGAAGATGGGGGCAAAGAGCTATCCAGATGCTGATTCCTTCAACACGGTGGCAGAGATCACTGGGAGCAAGTATCCCGAGCAGGTGAGTGAAAACAAAGGCAAGGGATGGACTGTCTGGGAACATGATGTTGCAGTCAAGTTTCAGTTTTTAGAAACAGTTTAGGAAAGAGAGCACGGATCTGCAGAGCTGATCCTCATAGACTCATGAAAGGCAGACACTTCATACACACACACACACACACACACACAAGGCTTCCCTGGTGGTTCAGATGGTAAAGAATCTACCTGCAATGCAGGAGACCCGGGTTCGATCCCTGGGTGGGGAAGATCCCCTGGAGAAGGAAATGGCAACCCACTCCAGTATTCTTGCCTGGGAAATCCCACGGACAGAGGAGACTGGAGGGTTACAGTCCATGGGGTTGCAAAGAACAACTGAGCAACTCATACACACACACACACACACACACACACACACACACACACATTTTCCCTATTAAAAGTTTACTATACTGAATGAACAAGGGCAGGACTAACCGAAGGACAAAACATGACCTGCTGTGTGGAAGTTCAACTCTGAATAGCTGAGGGCGGTATTCGTCCATTTGTGTTGTATTTCTTCCATTTGGAACCAGCTTGGCATTTGAGATCATGCCAGTAGTTGATAGTACGCTTATTGTGTGACTTGTCTTACTTCATCTTTTCGAAGCTCTGTGAAGTAGGTCCATTTTCTTCATTTTACAGATGAGGAAAAATAATCACTTGCCTAAGGTCCATACAGCTAGTAAATGGCTGAGCAGGGACTCAGACCCAGGACCTTGTGAATATTAAACCAAACTGTAGGCCACAGTTTATGTGAAATCTTTAGAGGTTTGGTTTTTCTTTTTTTTTTTTTTATTTTGTTTTAAAAAATCAGTCTTAGATGTATATTCAAACTCTATACTGGCTGAAGATTAACTAACTTCATTGAGTTACTTATTCTCTAAGAGAATTTATCTACAAAGAAGGGGAAGAACAGGATTATTGTGAGGACTAGATTAGATAATGCACATCCAGTAGCCTCCTAATACAGTGTTTGTGTCATAGGTTTTCTTCCTATGACATCAAGTGTACAAAAAAAAAAAAACAGCTTTTATAAGCTTTCTGGTGTGAATCTTATTTATTAGTAGGTATCGAAATTCTGAAAGTAGTCCCTAAAATAAAGCTGTTTGGGAAGTTTAGATTTGTATTTTGTTTAAGGAGATCAATGGAATGAAAGAACAAGTGCACGGTGTTGGAGAAACTTCTGCATGTGTCCTAGCTTGGGGCCTCTGTCAGACTTAAGGGCTGTGCTGCAGTCCAGATTCATATTAAGTTCAGAACCCTTTTCTCTCTTCCTAAATGAACTGTTCCCAGGGCTGGGGCATGCTTCAACCCTGGGGTTATAAGCCACAGATATAGTGGAAAAGCAAGGTCTCAGTAGGACCAGGGAAGTCAGACAGCCATAGCGAAATTGTAGTTTTAAGTGTTGAGAAAAAAAACAAGCCCCTTGTCTCTTCAGGAAACAGAGGCAATAGAAGAGCCAAGAGTCCAGGTTCCAGGAACAGAGTAGGCAAGACCCCTGGGAGTGTAACCCTTACTGCCAGTACCTCCAGGACAGAATGTTTCTGTGTGAAGGTTGCTGATCCAGGTGGGAGGGATGCAGGATTATATTTTATCAGCTGTCCAGGTGCGCTGCTGGTTCTAGCCGAAGGACAGGAGGCAAGGTGAGAGTGAGTTATCAGAACCGTAGTCTAAAATGGCCAGTGGGTGTTGGGGTCTGTGGCTGAAGCATTAGAACAGAGGCATTCTCAGGCAGCAGCAGCTGGAAGGTTGAGGTGGTGCTGGCTCAGAGCTTCCCAGGAGCCACTGGCATCTTCCCACTGCGCGTGCTCAGCCTGCTCCTCAGCCTTGCAGGAATGTTTTTGTTTTACTGAGGCATAGTTCCCATAAAATAAGCTTACCAAATTAAAGTGTACAATTCCATGAGTGTTGAAAAATGCACCCAGTAATATAACCCCAACCATAATGGAGACTATTTTCCTCACCCCAAATGTTCCCTTGGGCCTCCTTGTAGTACATCTCTTCTACTTCCCTGTTCCCGAGGTACCACGATCTGCTTCCTGGAACTATAGCTCTTTCTTTAGAATTTCATGTAGACAGACTCATGTATGTGGGGTCTTTCACACTGGCTTCATTCACTCAGCATAATGCGTTTGAGGTTTATCCATGTTGTATCTGCTTCTCATTACTTTATTCTGCTGAGTAATATTTCATTGTGAGGCTAGACCACAATGTGTTTATACATTTACCAAGGATGATGGACATTTTGGTGGTTTCTGATTTTTGACTGTTATGAATAAAGCTTTTGTGAACATTCTTGCATAAATCTTCTCCTGACCATATGTTTTCCTTCTTTATAAACAACAACAACAAGTGCCTTGGAATGGAATTGCAAGGCTTGCCTGAATCTTAGCACCCTAATCTCTGTAAAGATGCTTCAGTCTGTATTCTGTGGGTAGCACCTTCTCCAGGTGGGTGATGGACCATTGCAGAGAGGTCCTGGGAATCAGGATTTCACCTCAATCACAGTGTTGCATAGCATTCCAAGAGTTAGTTATAAATACTTTGTTACCTAGATGTAAAAGATGGAAGATTAGCAAAAGGTCTCCCACAGAGAAGTCACAGCATTGCCTCCCCAGAAGGAGTGTGGGTGAGTGCTGTGGGGTGAAGTCCACGTGACTGTGTGTGAGGGGGGTGTCTGCCTTACAGTCTGCCTGGAACCACAGAGGGTGTCTAGGCTGTGAAGGGAAGCCGAAAGCCTGTGGTTTCCCTCTAGGGGTTAGGCAACGTAATGAACCTGAGTAAGCACAGTGCATCCCTGACAGAGCCTCCTCGGGGACCCTCCCCTCATTCCACCACTTTATGCCGTTGCTGGACTGCCATCTCCCACCAGAGCTTGTTGCAGATGCCATAAGCCTTCTGTTTACTTTCTGCCTTTTTTCCCCTAACGCCTATCCCAGAATTTGGCAGGCAGTGGCTTCTCCATACATATTTTATTTCAGTGAAATGAGGAGAGAAATTTAAAAAAAGAGAAGAAAATGAATGGATGATTTTCTTAATCTCTATTCTTTTTAAATCCAGAAGTTTTCCTGCCTATTTAGAACATTGGTTGTCCATGGGCATATTGGACATCACCCCTAAATGCATTTCTATGTGGCTAAACTCAAGTTCATCAACTCCCTCACACCTGAAACCTCACCTTAATTTCTTGTCTCTATTAAAGGAACCATATTTACTTATGAGCACAGTTCAGAGACTTCAAATTATTTTTCATTCTCTCCTCTCTATTACTGTCGTACAGTTAAGAACCATATCCTATTCAGTCTACTTTCAACCTATTTAAAAAAAAAATCTATTCCTGCTTTGTCTTTATGTTGTTATTGTTCTAATTCAGGCCCTTGAAATTTTCCTCCTGACTTTCTTTTCTTCTGTTCTTTTTCTACTTCTGCATTTTTGCAATGCAATTCAGTTATCTTCTAAAATGCCAATCTCAAAGTGAAGTTTCTAAGCTGTCAAGTCCCTCCCCTGTCCCCTGTAAGACATAAATTATGATAAAGGTAAATGTTGGGACTTTCATGGCAGTCCAGTGGTTGAGACTTCACCTTCTCATGCAGGAGGTGCAGGTACTATCCCTGGTTGGGGAGGGATGCCTCACAGTCAAAAAACCAAAACATAAAACAGAAGCAGTATTGTAATAAATTCAATACAGATTTGGAATTGAACTGGGATCTGCATTGCAGGTGGATTCTTTACCAACTAAACTGCAGGCAAGCCCCCCCCCCCCCAAAATAATAAATAAAAGTAAAGGTAAATGCTGAAGTGAGTGATCGGAGGTGAGGAAGACAGAGAAAAAGAGATCACATTGGGAAAAGTTTAGGGGAGTTAAGTATGAGGCAGTTATGGTTAAATTATATAGTAGTATTCATAAATGAGTAGAAAATTAGAATGAAGAAAGGGGGAAAAGAGATGTATGTATGGTGGAGATCCCATACCACCTAAGACCCACTCTTTCATTGGCTAGTGAAGGAGTTCAGCTCTCCTAAATTCTAACAAGCTTTTCTAAAATCATTTAGCTTTATTTTTAATTTGAATTTTAATAAAATTTTAATATGTTGATGATGACATAAATGTTGGTCTTGATAGTTTGCGTTGACCTATTTATCCCTGACATGTCCTTGCTACCTTGCTGCTTATTAATGACTGAGAAACAATGCTACATAGTGCTGAACAAACCAGTTGCAGTGGATATTATTGCTAAAAATGAAGAGGATATGTTTTGAAACTATCATTATTCTGCCTGCAGCTAAGCATCGTGGGTGACCTGAAAGTGGTCTAACACCCAGGCAGTGGCCGATACTCTTTGGCGCTGACACCCACCTTATATCTCAAACAGGCACAGCACCTTGATGAAAGGAAAGCATTTAACACATAAAGAATCCTTCTGATTTGGCCCAAGATCTATGGACAACATGTTGCAAATTTTGGCTCTAGAAAAGTGTATATATGATTAACGAAGCCTTAGTTACAGAACCCTGTTACATAGTGCAGACATAAGCTTGACTGAATTAACCACAGGCTTTAAAAAATGCCAGTTATACAAATACTTTATTGGAATTCAATATATGAAAAGGCAAAATAAGGGTATTATAGACAAAAATCCTACCCGCTTCCTAAAAACCCCGCAAAACGGTTCCTCCAGGCCTGGAATTCTCTCTCCACTCTTCCCTCTTCTGAAACTGCTCCTCTGTGATTTGGGTGTGTTGTGCAGGGTTCAGCAGACCTGAACACTTTGAGGGGGTGCATTTCACAGGCGAAAAGCAGGTCGCAGGAAGCTCTGACATTAGGCCATTTTTTTAAATATTAATTTTTATTGAAACATAGTTGTTTTACAACATTGTGTTAGTTTCTGCTGTACAACAGTATATCAGTATATAGATAATTTCCTTTTATGAATTTCCTTTCCATTTCAGTTCAGTTCAGTTGCTCAGTCATCTCTGACTCTTT